GTTGAAGAAAACAGAACAAACACTGTGAAAAAATAAGCATCCCTAGATCTCTCTCAAGAAGCTCAATCTCTCCCTCTCGTTCCAAATTTTTGCTCTCACCAGCACGATCACGAGACCCAAGAGGATAGTGAGGAAGAAATAGTGGTGGTATTCGAGGAAAACTAGTTGAAGAAACATTCTTCAAAGGTAAAATTTTCTCTATATTTTTCTTCTGTAAAATTCGGTTTTGTATCCCGAAAATCAGCAACGAAAATCCGTTTCCGCTGCGGGATTCACATCCCTTCATACCCGTTGTGAGCTAACGGGGGGAGCTAATAGACATACAGATTTAAGCTCCAATGATCCGAGATTAATTAATTAAACTTATTAATTAAATTAATCAACATTAATTAACTCTGGAACATTCCACTAAAGATTCATAGGTGCACTCTTATGCAATATAGAACATGTTGTGTCCATGGATATTGACCATTAACAGTATGTCAATCTTTCACGAGTGTTTGTAACTTCAACTGGGTCAAATTATCGTTTTACCCTTAAGTTACCTCTTTTCTCCTTAAGTACCACTGATCCTGTAATGAACAACTTGTTTATGGTCTAACCATTAAATCGAAGTCTCTCTTAGGCCAGTGAGAGGATTGAAAGGAATTGAAGAACCAAAACAGATGGAAAATTTCTCTCTAATGCCCCAGAACTTTTTACACTATTCTAGGTAACGTTATTCATTTTCCTCTGTCAAATGTTATTTTCCAAATTCGAAATAAACAACTCCTTGGGAACAAGTTATAAATACATAGTTTCAACTCAGTTCGATACATCAAACTACAACATAAATAAAACATCAATTCTATAAACTATCAATCAAGCGTCCTTCGTGGACAACACCACCAGGCAACATCCATTATTCCAACTAAACGATTTCAATGAACGAAAGAAAAATAAAAGAAAACACTTATTCCGAGTCAAGTCTAAACAATAGGTGGGATCTCCCCTCAATTCACTTGAAACAAAGTTTATTGCCAAACAATCATAAATAAAAAAAAACCATCTAATCCTAAACTAAGCTAACATCACTACGCAGCCTATGGTCCTCTTCTGTCATGTCTCCTCCACGTCATCGTCGTGGTCGCCAATGAACTTTCCGCCTGAAAACAGCAATTGTAGAGGGGGGGGTGAGTATATAAAATACACTTCGTAAGTAGCCCTCACCAAACACACACAAACATCATGCTCAAAAACCATAAATAAAGCATACATCGTCATGCTAAAATCATAAAGACAACATACATCGTCATGCTCTATCATTACAATATGCGAAGTAATGATAGGAATTGTCTACCAAGGATGATTGGCACTTTTGTATCTGCATCATAGTCAAGGATTATAAAATCAGCAGGAAATATAAACTTATCTACTTGTACCAATACATCTTCAATCTTCCCTTCTGGATGTGTGATGGAACGGTCTGCCAGTTGAAGAGTTATAGTGGTAGGTCTAGCTTCTCCCATGCCTAGCTTCTTGTAAATAGATAAAGGCATTAAGTTAATGCTCGCTCCCAAGTCACACAGTGCTTGTCCAATTTTTTGACCTCCAATAGCTACTGGAATTGTGAAACTTCCAGGATCTTTCATTTTCTCCGGTATTTTAACAGTCAAAATTGTACTACACGCCTTGGTTAAGCAGACTGTTTCAAACTTTCCCAGCCTACGCTTATTAGTGAGCATATCATTCAAAAACATCATATATGTAGGCATCTACTCCAAGGCTTCCATTAATGGTATATTAATATGTATCTGCTTCAGTACCTCAAGAAATCATTTAAACTGCCCATCTTGATTCTTTTTTCTGCAGCCTTTTTAGGTAGGGTAGTGTAGGAACATATTTTGTTATGGTTGCTGGAGCAGTGGCCTGTTCTGGATGCTTCGGCTTGTCAGCTGCCTTGGACACGGATGTTCAAGCATTGTCTGTCTTAGCAACTTGGTTGTCCTCTTCGCTTGTGTTGCCTTGTGGATCCACTATCTGCTCAATATTCACTAACTGCCTGAAGTTTGTCCTTTTTTTAACTGGCATGATCATGGGTGTCCTATCTGCCTCAATTCTTCTTCTTGATTTAATTTATCATGGATTCCTGGAGAATTTGGATGGGTAGGAGACAATGTCTTCCAGCTTCTCAATGTAATGCCCTTACATTGCTTCTTCCCATATCTTTTTGGTTGTTCAGTGTCACTAGGAAGCACTCCTCGTGGGCGACTCTTCAATTATGTGGCTGGTTGTTGTGCCTCAGCTTAATAGCTAAAGGTTAAGTGCAAGTGCACACTGTCACAAGTAATAATCTGGAAATATTCCAAGTTCGTCTCCACAGGGACTAGTTTTCTTTTAAAATTGATTTTGTAAA